GTACTCCCACTTCCCGTCAAGATAAGAATCGTTCTCCGTGTCTATAAATCCATATTCGGGGGCTGATATCAAATAATTCCATTACGCTGCTAATCATCGCCCCACCCTCAAGGCCGGAGAGCGGGTGCCTTTCCGTCACGACTCGTTTTCGAGCGTTTGTCCTTACCTTCAAAGTCATATCTCGGATGTCTACTGAGATGTCCCGCTTGAAATTCAACTAATTAGCATGCGGGGGGCCAGAACAAATCAAGATGAGTCATGGCTGCATTAAAGGGAGGCGGGAACCCGTATGAAAGGACTTGGAATGGGGAAGAATGAAGAGGTTGACTCGAGAGGAAAAGGCAAAAAGACTCGTAAGCCTCACCCTACCTTGTAGAGGCGTAGATGGGGGGGGGGGGGGGGGGGGCCCCCCCCAGGGGGGGGGAGAGGGGGGGGGGGGGGGGGGGGGGGGGGGGGGGGGCCGACCCGCAAGTTTGGCACGTGTCCCAACGGAATGGGAGATGCCAAAGGAAAGGATAGGGGAGTTTTCGCCCACATGGGCTCTCTGCAGTCTGCCGTTTCCGGCAAACAGCTCGTCTCTGTCCTCCTTTGCCTTAGCACAGAACAACGCAATCTCTGCAACAGTTCGTCTATTTGGGTGGTGCTTGTTTTTTTCTTTTTTGCTTTTTAAATTGCCCCTCTCAGTGAGTGGTGCTGTTGTGGACGTGCGTTTTCTCTTTGCAAACAATCGGACAGATGCGTCTGTGTGTCTGACTAGGATCCTCATCAATGCTGTCAGTGTATTGACAGCCGGACGTCCCCATTTTCACAGCAATTAACCCATGCAAATTCCACGTCTCCCATATGGCGTTCCATGATTGGAGAGGCGTAGGAGTGTCACTCCTTCTAAGGTTCATCTCCATCGACTGGGAATGAGGACATATCGCCCAGCCATACCCTTACGTATCATATTGCAGCATCCTGTGTACCTGTTATTCAGGCTCACACCTACCGCTGCACTTCTTGGTTCTTGGCACTGTTTCTTTTTGTGTTCCTCGCCGACAGAGGGCTTCATCACATTACCATCTGCAGGTGTATCATTATTGTATCGGCTTGATGTTCTCCGACGTATGAGTGTGCCGCTATGTGTCACATTGTCTTTGGTGTCGGAGACGCGGAAGAGTGAATAGCTCTGGTTACAAGAAGAACCACTTTAAGCCTCTGCAGTAGGTCTCATGTAGCTCATATGGGGCTGCCGCCATGCAGTACAGAAGACCATGAGAAGCATAACTCAGGTCCGAACGACCCTGGAATACATAGATATGCTAAAGAGCAGGGACCTTTCAGCGCCTGACCTCAATCCAGCCTTGAAGAAAGCTTTCGTTCGTGAATATGAGGCTTCAATTATATTTCTTTCCTTATTTTTTTTTTATCATCTAAAGAGAATGAGGGTTTTCCGTGCATCTGCCAAGGGTGTTTCTGGGTCTCAAAAAAAAAGGCAGGTCACAAATCTCAATGTTTAGCCTTTAGGAGGCGATACCATGTGAGGAAAGCGGAGGAAGTCATTAACCTCTCATTTGGGGATCCTCCCTTGCCCTAGTCTATTGTCTTTTCGAGTGCTTGTTCTTCTAGTTCTGTGGTGTGCACTTACACCTCTTAATACTCTCCGACACATTGACTTCGATGGCTCTTCCCACTCACATTGACCCCAGGATGTCATTAGAATGTGGTTCTACAAAGTGCCAACTAGTGTGCTCCGCGGCTTTGCCCTAGTGTCATGAGTGGTCGATCTGCTCTCGTTCCTACGTTTGCATCTTATTCAGCTTTTATTGACTGGTAATATTGGACAATAGGATACTTGCAGTTATTATTATTTAAGGGTGGAAGGATTCGAGTGACCTTGTTTTTGCCAGTTCATCGTCGGAACCATGCTTATTGAGTGCAGAGGAGCTATAAGGCTAACGCCAATCCCACTTACTGTGGAAAGAACCCCCGTCATAAACAAATAGTAGTGTCATAAAAGGTGCAATATTCAGAAAGTTGACTTCCCCTTTCCTTGAAGGCCTTCATGGTTGTAAACGGTGGATGTCTCCCCTAGGATTGACACGATAGCCTTCGAACTGTCTCCACGTGTGCAGCATGGAGTGCCCAGAGAGGCGCGTGTCAGAGAGGATAGCCACATGTCTGTCTGACACAGTTTTATCTTTTACTTTTAGAATTTTCCCCCCTTTGTCTTCAGTGTTTAAAGAGCGTTTCACACTTTGCGTGTCTTGCGTCCTTCGCGTCAATGCTTGGGCAGGTAGGCAGACACACGCATGCACACGCATAGCCACTTACATCCGAGGGTTTTCACAAAAAAGCACGGCTTGCGTGTGCAATTGGATCAGTCCAATTCGGGACTTCCGCACGCATGCATATGCGGGAAAGTAGTTTAATGAGAGGAAGTTCGCACAGTACGTCGAAATGCTTTCATATTTATGTGACTAACTAAACACACTGGCGTTCTATCAGCACCGTTGTAGACACAAGTACGAACGCACAACATGCAAATAAAAAGTTTGAAACTGCCTTTAGAGCTTTAAATAATATTTAGATTTGCAGTATCTTTAATTATGAGCATTTTATATATTTATACGTATTAACATTTTCCTGCCTAAGTATTTCCGATTAGTGTTTTACGAGTCATTCGCGAGTCGTGTAGAGAGCGGGCGTTGGCCTCCATTTACTGACAATTTTTATTGGTTCCGCCCTCAAAGATGGGAGATCTCGATAGGAAAGCAGAGTGATGATGAATGCGCTGGAAATGACAATGTGGAATGAATGCATGGAGACCCTGGGAAGTCCTGACCGGGGACAATAGGTCTTCACTCATTCCACGCTTTTTCAGCACTCATGCTGGGACATCTGCGGCCGGTCGAGTGCTGAATGCACCGCAAAATGCCATTCTATTGCTCCGAGGACGTTCGCTGCTCGATGATTCATGACCGAGCCGGCCGTTTCCAGGGAAAACCACGAAACAAGAAATGTCCCCGCCTGAATTCTTTAGGATGACATCATGACCTCGAGGGAGTCGAGAGCCCTCGCTCGCTCATCACGTTGCAGCCAGTCGAGCATGGCGGTTAAGGTGATTACATGGAATGTCTGCTTGTAAACAGGAGTGCCATGAAATGAGCTCCATTGGAATCTAATTAGATCCGCCATCCATCCTCGGGAGCATCCTCGTCCGTGCTTCACGTCCTGAAATCCTATTACCCCCATCTTTGGCACTTCGTTATGGGAGAGGGTGGAAAGGCGTCGGTAGGCATCCTCCGTGCCCCATCGCCGAACTCCTCCCCTTAGATGGACATGGGGGCCGAATGCGTGACCGCCTCTTGCCGAGTGTTGACTCACGATCATCATCCCCGATTCCATTATTACCTTCGTGTTTGGAGGGGGATAATAAAAAACTCGTCTCTTCGCTATGCATCGGGTGGGAGAGACATTCGAATATCTCGTTTAGTTTGCCTGCCGATTCTATTCGCGATTCTACTCACGCCCAAAATTCCATATCCTACATACTTGAATTTGAATGCTCGTGAAACCGCCGAAATGAAAGGATTTTCAGCTTGATTATCGACCTTTCGACACCACAATAGTTCGAGGTTTTGTAGATTTGAGGAAAACATGCCTTTGTTGACACAAATGTTCGCTAGCGGGTGAGGGAGTTCAAAATGGGGCTCCGAGAACGAAGACCGATCGCTTTCGAAAGATATTGCCCCGAAGTGATGGCTTTGGAGATGGGGATCGCCGCTGCTTATAGAATCTGTCTTCTGTTTGAAAGATTTCTCAGTAGACAAACTTTCGGAATGCACTCCGTATGTCCCCATTCGCTCAGAAGGATTTCAGTCCCTGCGAAACTTGAAGTAATTACAATTTTCGCGCATGCGCGTGCGATTACTCATAAGCGAAGGGCCAACTATAGCGTCTAACTGACGGGCCGGTATGTGCTGAGGTGGGAAAAGAAGTGAGCGTGCTAGAATTTCAAGTGTGTGCTTTGCCAATACAGCTTTGTCATCGAGAGCCGTTATTTCATAACGTTCCGTGAAGCTGCAACGTTCTCTTCGAACTGCGCATCGTTTTGGTAGTCGATGGCACCCGTTAACGAAAGCGGGATTTCCTCACACGGGTTTTTGAAGTGGTTCTCCCCGACGTTCAAGAAGTCAGAGTTTTATTTTGGACAAGGGTGACTGGGTCCGGAATGTGCTGAGTTGCCGGATATCGCCCGATTCCGCCTGCACCTTGGGATTTCTCTCCTCGATGGAGGGGACGCAGCGTCGTTCTCTTTCGTGTTAGTCGAGCGGCACGTAGCCAAGTACATGCGGAAGAAGAGTCGAGGATGAGTCTCGTAGACTCTACTCGACTCTTCGCAGTATTTATCTACGTGTGGGTGTATGAGTGCAATCGCTCCGACTACTTTTTCTCACCGTGGTTTCAGTCTCGAGACCCGTGCCAGGGCGCCTCGCTAAGCGGAGAGAAAAGGTCATATGTTTGCGCAGGATTTGCAGCGTAGCTTGCATCTGTTCCTTCGTGGTTTCCCCGATGATGGTAACGTTGTGTGCGTTGTGTGCTCAGTCCTCGGTGACAATACTTCAGCAATGATACCTTGACATTCAGCAGACTTGCCTATTCGTTAGGTTGCCGTCGAAAAGAACTTGAATTTCAGGTTCTTTTTTCTCGCGACATAGACACTCCATTTAAATTTGTTTTGTTTTTGTTTGTTTATTTATTTTTTTATTTATTGGCGTTTTGAATTCGCCTTTTGATGTTCCTGCTCTGAAAAAATTTTTTTTCCACTCGAACTATTGGTCCGAAACGGGGCTAGGTTAGGGGAAGCCAATGATCACTCTGGTATCCGCATTGCATTCGAAATGGGAGAGTCTCGCAAAAAGATACTGGAGGTTATTTTTAGATCCAACCGGAGCAGTGGTTAATGGAAGAATCCAGGCCTCCGTTATGGACGGGCAGATAATCATTTCCGTTCCTTTTTCTCCTCCGCAGGTCTGAGAACAGGAGATGTTCTGAAAGTGCGTGAAGAGGAGCTGCGGGGATAAAGAAAAAGAGAGAGAGATGTCAGGCGGGGTGGTGGCGATGGGAATACCGTCTCAGGCACCTCCATTGGAGGTGCACGAGGCAGGGAAAGGTGCCCTGAAGGTCCAGACCACCCTCCCTCATCTTGTCAGCCTTGGGGGTGGTCGCCTCTCCACGGCCGTCACCTTGCATGCCCTCCGAGAAGGTACTTTTCAAATTTGTTATTTTCAGCAATGTCCATATGGCAAGGAAAGCTGTTATGTTTTATTTTCAATCAGAGTCTTCCTTATTTTATGCTTTTCATCAATGTTTTCCCTGCTGTGTTAAATATCTATGGAGATTTCGCTTTTACACATGGACAACCCATGAGGAGGAATCAATCAAAAATTGTAAACCCTCGAGGAGGAATCAATCAAAATTTCTATCTCCAAGTTGTGGATGGAAGTTAATGAAACCTGAAGGGCTAAGTAGTACGATATAAATTCCTTACATTGGAATGTGCAAATGATAAAAGAGATTTTTCACAAGCTGTTCCAGTAATTGCTTTTGACGCAAATGTTTTTTTTTCTTACCAAGTTTCGGAGGAATTTAGCTACCATTTGCAACAAAATGTCTCGGGAAAAAAATTTTTCCATGTGTCATGTTGAGCCTGGGGGAAAAAGCGGAATCGCGAGGTTTTTTTCGCAGAAAGTTGAACTTGAAGACGAAGAACAATGAGACCATGCAACTTTCGTTCCGTTTCATGCACAGACTCCTCGACTTGCTTTCCCTGCACATGTGTCCCACGGAAAAGTGACTGGAGAACTTTCACAGTTGCATACGCGTTGGGTCTGCACTATGCAAGCCAGGCGTTTCCCAAGATGTCAGAAAATTCTCAGAATCCGCCACCATCAGCTTTCGGATCTTTGTCCCTGTCTCCCAGTCCTCATGTAAAATGGGTCGCCTACATGCGCAACATGCGAAGAGAAAACGTGTCATTTCATTGTTTCATTATGCAAGCAAGGGTGGAGCGGACTGGAGGTTTCGTAAGGTAATGTAATTACTTCCCAGTTTGTTTATTGTCTCGCTGACATTCCCTCTCATTAGACCGAGATGTTTCTCGGAAGTCGTAGTGATGGATTCGCGAAGAAAACAGGGCGAAAGCTTTCGTCCTACTTCCTTCCTAGGATCTATCATGTTACATCACCCCTTGTGAATTCCCCTCGGGAGGGAGAGGGAACAGGAATTCCGCCTTGATATCCGACCTCAGAGATTCCAAACTCGGATCTAAACAAGGGAATAGTGTGGGACGGTGTTCGTCAAAGTCATGATCGTGTGGGTTTTACGGAAAGAATCTTCCAAGCTAAAGGTCGCCATTGTGGGCAGACGGTTGAAAGGTGTCTGGAAATTATGAGGTTCCCCCACTCCATATAAGATAAGAAGGGGGGCTGGTGCATTGGCAGAGGGAAGAAAAATGCTCGACCAGATGACCGTAAATTCCCCTACTACGACCGCTAAGATACCCAGTGTTGTAAATTACGGTCCGAATTGAAGGGAATTTTTTTTTCTTTTATTTCAATCGCGAAGGGAGGACGTGGATGGGGCGTGGGCGATCCGGAGGCGGCGAACCCGATATCCTGGTGACTGGGACGGGAGTTGAAGTTGACCATTGCTGCATCGAGAATGTCAACTCGGTTGTCACTCTGCACCCGAATGCGGACATGATTTCCATTGACGGACTTCAAGTCACCAAACCCACCCGACTCACTCAAGGTAAGCTGCTCTTCCTCTTCCATCGGCGGCCTTCAAACGCGCTCACACACATCCACACATGCATCCAGCCGCGAAGAAATCCGTTGTCTTCACGGGCGAACATCGCCCATCTGGTCGTGTATTTTTGCCCCGTGCATATAATGGGGTGCTTGTACGTGAGAGAAATCCCGGTCGACGGAGCCGAGATGAGTCCGGGTTGATGTTCTGACGGCAGGAGAAAGTCAGGTACTCTTCGTGGCAGGTGAAGCATGAGCAGACCTTTTTTGCATGTCATTTGAGAGAACTGAAACGAAGTGATGGGAAGACGCAACGAACCAGAGTCTCACCCGGCTGCAATTACGATTCAAGTAGGTCAACAGAGAGGCACGTTTTTCGCACTGCGATGGCGATCGCATTCCGACACAAAGTTTGCATACTTTTCGGTGTCTCACCTGCGACAGAGAGCATAATTATGTTAACTATCTTTTTCCTTTTCCCCCAACCCGAAGCTCATGCACGAGTCATTAACATTCTGTTTCCCTTGGTCTCCCTCCAGGATGGGGCATATATTCCCCGTCTAGATTTTGAAGGCGAGATAGGTCTTAGAACTCCTCTTCCTTCTCCTTTCCTAATTGCTGGGGTCCCGGTAAAAAATGGGGTCTTTGGACCCTTTTGGGGAAGTTTCTCTTTTCTCACGTCCTTCTCGATGGGGAGCAGATACAGAGAGAGCATATTTCGAGATTAGGATCGCGGATCAATTTAGATTTATATTCCTTTCCCTCTATACGGATATTTTCTTCTCTGTTCTCATATCTGCGGCATCGCGTGCGTTAACGATGCCGCCAAGGAGCTGGTCGTTAAGACTCTAGTTTTCACGTCTCTCATATGACGTGGGAAAATGAGTTCATTCTTCTGAAGGGCGATAGCATCGGTCCCTACTCAAACTCTTAAAAGTGATGTGAGAAATTACAGAAAATCATATGTAATACTGTAGACATGCACGAAGACCACGAAGATTAGGTGGTGATTAGGTGATTACGTGGAGGATTAGGTCTCGAACAGGATTCGAAGTCGACAATTATATATTTCATCAGTTCGTGTCTTGGTGTGATTTTTTTCGTATTTTTGAGCTCGACGAAGTAGAATGAGCGGCGAAGCTGGTTTCTGACATTAGAATGCATACTACTCGAGGAAGTCCAGTGACCTAAAAGGACGACCTTGAAAGACACGATCGAGAACCCGATGATGATGAGGATGCCACGAGATAGATATCCATCTCTCTCTCCCTTGCTTATTTTGGCCCCTGTCCCTCTTTTTTTCTTCCATCTCCTCCACTTCTGTCTGTCTCTTATCTGGGATTGTGGTTTGCATTCCATCGCTCTCTGCTGTCAGTTCCCTCGGGGCTCTCTCGACGTCGTGCCTCCATCAGCTGGAACATCCATCTGTGCTTTTGCATGCCACGGGTATGGAACTTCATTGTTGATTAAAATAAAAATGCTTGAAAGGGTCTCTCAGCTAATGCTCGTGAAGGCTTTTTTTGTTTAAAGGGCCTGCTTACGCCTCCGATAGGAGATGAATGGCCCCTTTTCATTCCCGCTGCATACAGAAGCCATATGCATTGAACGGGAGATTTATATTTATACTTGCCCATATTCGTCACTCGGACAGCTGTGGCGTGAAAGACGGAACTGGCGAACAATTGTGTTGTCGATGGCATTGTGTCTCGGGTGATCTTTGACCCGGGCCCGAGGGGGTAAGGTTGGCCCACTCTTGCATACAATGGTCACTCTTTCAGCGAGGCATGCATCAGCGAAATTTGATCCAAAAAATCCCACCTAAGGCGGCATTTCGGGAGTCCAATGTAATTTACCCGGCGGGGAGTCTGTCATTAAGACCCGATAGGGTTTTATAATAGAGATGGGATTTTAAAACCGAAAAAACGGGGGGAAAAGAGGCGTGCTGGGAAGTGTGTGACTGTGATTGCATTGCGGTCCTGTGGGTTTCCGTATTCCTGTAATTGAAATGCTTGCCTGCTTTCTCTTCGGGACTCAATTGCGGTCATCTGCATGAAATCTCACCTTCTCCCCTCTGGCCATTTCCCATTCTGTACGTGTACCTACATCATGATACACCTTCACTTCCGATTGAAAGGAATAAAAGTCTCTACATGAATCAATTCCCATTCATGATGAAGACAAGTCCTTCAGGGTTTACTTTTCTTTTTCTTTTTCTTTTACCACTATAAAGCAGGAGCCGTTGTAAAACAACGTTGTAAAGCGGAAATCTTCTGGGCCATGTGTCTGCAGCCACTCTCGGGGAAAATGTCGCAAATGCAATGAATGACCTCGTCGACGTCCCTATAGTAAAAGCTGTAGAAATAAAAGCCATCGGAAATGTTTTCCCGCCTGGGCCCTTTCGGCTTCTCGTGTCAATGGAATGCATGCCGGGCTAATGCAATTGAGTGAGCTCCCCCGCATGAATCACTCGGCATTGCTCGTTTCTGGAATTTAGCATCTTTTGTGTTTTCGAAAGGTATCTTTTCCGCGTTCTCCGCCCTGCCAAGCCAAAGTAGACGGATGCCAAGAGAGTCAATAGGGAGAAGAAAATGGAGAATTCCCATTTCCTCTTCAGCCGGGGCCATCTCTCCGGTAGAACATAACGAATCCTCTAAATGCCCTTTTTCTGCAGGTTGCATGATCTGCCTGGGGAGATCCTCGTATTTCCGCTTCAATCATCCCCAAGAAGCCCAGCTGATGAAGAGCATTTTGCCCAACAATCGCGTCTCCGTCGTTCCCATCAACTTCTATGCGAGTAAGTACTCCCCACCGGGCAAATGAAAAGGATGATGAATCTCTCCAGATCAGCATGCAGGGCTCACCCATTCTCATTTATCTTCTGTTCGTCATTCCTCACGCTATGGTCCAGCACCCCGCATTCTGTATCCCATGTCAACTCGTAGGTGTCTCTAGCGCCTGTGGGCGTTTGATGCCTAAATGAATACGGTGGACTGGATTTTCACGCGATATGAATCGCTCCTTTTATTTCTTAGCTCGTTGGTACTCTCTTGTTTCGCAATAAAGCTTTCGCTAGGAAGAAATTTATGAGACGACGGCACGATTCTGCAGTTGCATTTTAAATTTTATGCTCTTGCGCGTGGAAGTTGGTTGGAAGGGGAATGACGTTCATGACCCTAGTATGTGTGAGGAGACTAAGCTTGAATTTATGTTTCCACGTGAGGTGAAGAAGTTCTTTGTCTTGAATCCATAAGCCGTTATTCACGCGGAGGTTGCAAAGTGGAAAAGAGAGAGGGATTTTTCTTCTTTATTCTTCTTCTCCCGCCCCATTCTTTACTCTCTATTTCCCAATGTCTTGACCCGCCTTGCCACTTTTCACACCTTTTTTTCACAAGACCCCCCCGAAAGGCCATGTAATGCCCCGTGGATTTAGTCCAATGACCATATCCTTGGGTCGGGGAGCTCATTTCACATTTGTTCGGTCGGGTGTTCATCGAGTGTGACGTTTTCCCTCGCTCGCGTGTTATTCGTTTACCCGCCCGGTAAACGAACGCCAGGTGCCGCTTCGTATTTTTTTTCCTTCTCTCCCCCCCTTTTCATTTTCCCTTTGTGCTCGACCGCCCCTCGGCGAGTCCCTTCAGTCTCCTCAGTCCAGCGTGGGCACGGTAGACGTGGTGTCGCCATGACGTACTAGTCCTCGTCGATCATGATCCCACCTCTGCATAGGCGTGGTACTGGAAGGTGAGAAGGACATGTTTCATGGTACCCCGGTGTACTCGGTGACAGAAGTGAAGGACGACATCCCTCTGCGTTTGTGTCCACTTCAGTGACGGGCGCTGTGTGCAAATGGATCTATTTTTTATTTCTCGCACAAACGCGACGTAGATAAGTTTAATGCTCAGGGGGGAAAGGTCATGAATTTATCGCAGGAAGAGATAGTGCAGATGCGAACAGAAGTGTTCTCCAGCCCTTGTACTGGTACCGTATCCATGGTACGCTTCGTTGCAAAGTTTTCCCCTTCGCTCGATTGAGTGCGTTTCTCTCTCGAAATGGCGTCACCCGTGTGTGAAATGATGTCATTAAAATGAGTCGTCGTGAATCGTGCTTTTTCCCTTTGCCTTTGGCTCAGGTAGGATTCAACTTCACATCTCTCTCTCGCTCTCTCCCTCTTTCTTATTCCTTTCTTATTGCCCTTATCAATTGCCCTTACTGTTTCCGTCAATGACCTACTTAATTTCCCATATTCTCCCGGACTTCCTTTTTCTTCCCGCTGTGTCAGATCCGGCTCCTCCTACACCGAAGTTTACAAGAACCCGAAAGAGGTTTTGTTACGTACGTGCTAATTCACAATGAACCTTGAGGTTATTTTCAATCATCAAGTTTTATTGGTCCATAATACACTCATCTAACCTACTGGTGCAATGCGATCTGAGATGAATTTATTGCCCTTTCTGTTCTATATACGCTGTACATGAATGACCTTCCTCGAATAGGTATCGAATGACATTTTCGAATCGAAATTGCCTTCCGGTGAACTTATCCCCGTTCTTGATCGGGATATTCCGGGTGATGAAGCGGAAATGCCGTTACTGGCCCTCCCTTTAACTTGGACTTATTGCTTGGCTTCGGGGGGAGGTGAGACAGTGACACAGATTTCTTCGAGAATTTCGATTTATTCCCCTTCCAGCGGTGGACAACCCGAATTACTTTCACATGTCCAATGGCTCATCCACGACTACGACGAACGGAAACGAGATAGAAGAAGAGGGACAGGAGCTGTTGCCCCCGACGCCGGAGCGGAACACGCCGACCCCGCAGAATTTTGCGGATAAGTTGTCCAAGTTTGAGCGTTTGACGCATCGGAACGTGGTGCGGAGCAGCCCTTGCGGTGCGCCGTTGTCGCCGGAGACGGGACGGAAGCTGCCGAACGGCTGCGTGCCCGTCATCCCTATGCGGGGCGTCGAGAACCCCAACTACCAATCGGTTCGTTTCTTGCTCTCTCGGCTTGTTTTGTAAAATGAAAAAAAGTTTTTAATGGTTTATGGTTTCGCGGCGGTTTCAGTTCGTATTCTGGTGATATTGTACCTTAATTGTACCTTAAATTTTCTCATATTGTATCATCATGTGACGGATTGGCAGGATTAAAATTTCGTATTTTTTAATTAAAAATATCAAGCCATGTGGAATATTTTGATGTTTTATGTATGCTTTTCCCTATAAATCAAAAGATGAAGGAAGTAATGTTCTATTATCCTGAGAAAGTCTGTCACACATTTCATTGAAATAAGAGTGGTTTTAGTAACCACTTGTATTTTTTTTCACGGTTGCGGAGGCATTTTAGGGTTCTTTCGCTGTCATTCATGGAGTGTTTTATGAGAGAAGGCAGGCGTATTTTCATTTGCCAAGCATATCATCCTAAAAGACCGTGGGAAAAAAACTTAAATTTCCACTTTCTATGCAATATACTGTGAAAAATACGGAACCGAAAGCTCCCTATAGAATGCTTTCAGCTGAACCATATAGAATGCTGAGTAAACGATGCAAAAAATGCCCTCCTTTTGTTGAAAGAAACGGACTAAAAAAAATGCTCCCTGATGGATTAGGTTTGAATAGATATGAGGAGATTGAGGATTTCCGCGTCGCTCGTGGCGTCAGCTGCACGGTCTCTTTTCTCCCGACAGGAATTCGAGAGAAGGGCATTGAAGGTGCCTCCGACTCCACCACCGGTGGCCCCAAAGCCGGCCAAGTGGAAGGGGAAGCCTCAGAGTCAGAGTTCCCTGCCCCCTCCTGTCGGATTCCTTCCGGCTGCCCACCCGTCCGTTTCTCCCAAGGTCTTCCCTCCCACCCCGGGCGCACCGGCCTATAACAAGGCGGGGGGACAGAAAGGCTACCAGGGCCCTCCGAGGAAGTGCAGCTTCGAGAAGGTCCTCGCTGATCTAGGAGTGGACGGGCTCGAGGAGAAACGCAGAAAGGTGAGGTGACGTCACTCATAAAAATGAGATAAAGTTGGAGCTATACAGATAAAAAAGAGAGATAATGAGTATGGGTGGCTAACCGTTTCCAGTTAGAAGAGCTTGAAGAGCTGAAAAAGGGAAGAGTGGAAGACCCATCTTTGTTGGTGTGTATCGTGTTTCCTTTCTTCCGTTGTTATCCTCGTTGACCCTGGAAGAAGGGATTTCAGGGAGGGAAGGGGAGTGGATGTAGCTCGCTTAGATCCCGTGAGATGGCGTCAGGGGTGTCTCCAACGGCCCCGAATACCAAACAGTGTCTCTGCGCACTTTCGATCGCCTCTGTGGAAGTAATGAAAATGTAACGACTCGGTCTCGTGACTTAATGATACAAGTATCGGAAAACAAGGTTTACCATTACGTCTACCTGTTTCCCGGCAGCCGCGCCAAGGAGCCGGTCGGAAAACCAACTGGGTTATGTCTCACATTCCGTATTTTATGCAGGCATTCAGTAATTCCTGGGCAAGGTGAAGAGCTAATTGGGCTTTACAGGGTGTTACTAAATTCAGGACTCACATGATTGTAAAGTATTAATTATTTCTTGTCTGAACCATTCGGAAATCACCCGCTTACCGTTAGGATACTGTAATGCCTAAGTTGTTGTCTATGTTAACAAATTTGGTCCAAGGGAAGAAGAAAACTTGAGTGAACTAAAAATTACTCAAATTGATTCAGAGTAACCCATATTACCCGATTGAGCCAACTCGAGTCATTTGAGTCTATTGGTCAGTTTGGGTCTTTTTTTTGGCAATTTTTCTCTCAGTCACTTTTTCTGAGATCGGATTTTGTGATTGTGATGACTTTGGTTGGATGATTATGATATTAACCAATCAGTAGATTGGTGAGTTTCTAATAGTCCATACAGATCTAATAATAATCCATGCTCTATAAACCATTGATTCCTGACGTTTGTTACACACTTCAAACGGTTAATATATGAAAGGATGACCCAAAATGTGCTTGCATCGAATTCCAAAATTGTGGCGAATCCCGCTTGTTTTTTTTTGGGTTGCTCGGCGGGAGTTCTCCTGGGACCTGATAAGGGATTTTAGAGAAACCGAATGATGATTTCATGAGAGGACATTTGACCTGTGTGTACCTTTACGTGTCTCCGTGTTTTCTGATGATACACAGGGTGGGCCATAAATAGTCATACCACTTGTAACTTTTCTTTCTGTATAGCCGGGAACAGAAGAGGATGAGAGATTTGGTACCTATATGTTTGGAGGCCAATCTTGGCTGTTTTAACAGGAATCCTTCTCCAGGGCTTGAGGTTCAAAAACTTCTATAGCTTGTAGCAAAAATGATCAAAGGACAGGAATGCCCCCTTACAAATCTGACCGTAATCAAATAGATCACTGTATGTGAAGTCTGCTGAAAGCAAGTGTCCAAAAAATAAATTTAGCGACCTGAATCAATTAGGGTTGGTGCCGAAAGAGGAGTGAAACTAATGTCCGAGGGAAATCTATTTGTGGGGGGGGGGGGGGGGGGAAGGGAAAACTATTTAGTTGGGTGAAGTAAATTGGGCTGTGCGCGATTTTCTCTTCACCCTATGAGCACCGCTTGACATTCCTAAGGTAGACTGCTGGACCTTATCTGAGAAGATAATAGCATAGTGCGCTGTACTGATCTGTGTGAGGAAACGATCACGTGTGATGATGATGATCAGGCGCAGGAAGAGCGTGAAGCGGAGCAAAAGATGGAAGAACGGGAGCGCGAAAGACTGGACGAGATCCTGCGGATGTGTGCAGAGTACGAGAAACAATGCCTGCTCCACCAGACTCAAGCGGAGCTGAAAAAGTGCCCACCTGCGTCAGCTTCTCCTCCATCCTCCAGGTGAGTCAAGGGATTTCTCATCTGTGCCTGTTTATCTTAACGCCCGGATTCCATTGGGTTCGTCGCCGGGGAGCAGGATGATGACTCAGTCATCCGCTGATTTCACAGCTGCCGATATATTATCGCATACCCGCTCGTGCACCGGAGCTGGGACAATGGAGCCGTTTGACGCAATTCCACTCGTGGGGGATTCTCACGTTCGCTTTTCATGGATCCCGCACGGCTTTTATCTCAGATTCTTCTCATTGTGTAATTTCACTGTTTACAGATAACGCGGTTTGTGCCCTCGTTTTCCCTCTTATTCAGTTTTAGTCTGGTCAGACAGAGTGTCTCACCGTGCTTGGCATCGGGAATGGTGAGTGCCAGTCACGCCTGTCGAGCGGTCACTTTAAGTAACAGAGCATGTTGCATTTTTCCATTGTTAATTGGATTTTCTACTCTACGTTTCCTGCGGACAGTTATGAGACGTTCTTGTGAAGTGGAAGGGAAGTGAACGGTCATATGCTAAGCAACGTATTCATAAAGGACCGCGGGATTGACTTAAATGTTCTTTCTTCGATCTGCATATCCGGTCGGCTGTAAAGAAAAACTCGAGGATATTCGCTATGCAAGAAAAAGAAAGAAAAATGAGGGAGAGGAAGCTAGAATTTTTGAGTACATCTTGTTTACCGAAGTTCCCAGGTGACGTGATCAAGTTACAGATGCTCGAAGGACTGGTTCTTCCGCTACGCTCGAGGGGATTTTTTGCATGATGGAAAGTGAGAGTAGCCCTAGCCCCAGTCCTGGTCCAGCGTGGCCTTTGTCTGTCCCCTCCGAGCCTCCCTCTTCTCACTCCCATTCACTGCACTGCATCTGTATGGCGCGGCGTGCTCTTACCCCGTGCGGTTCCTCGCTCATCCCCACTCCTCACTGTGTTGTGTGTCTCAGCTTCGCTGCTTTCAGCGTCTGCTGCGTTTGAACTAGGCTGCACGTGGCTGTGATGACAAATGCTCCTCAATGAGATCTCCAAGTACCCTGAGTTGACATGTATCACTTCACGTACTCGTCCACGAGGTGGGAAGGCTCTTGGAAGCTCTTGTTAACGTTAGGGGAGAACTAGGAACAGGGAGGGCCTACATCGCATCCGATAGGATATACCGCTGAAACTTTTTTCAAATATTTTTAAATATAGGCCTAGGCCTAGGTCTTGCATGGTCCATGATGGGTGGGGCCCACCGCATCATTGAACGAAGGCCTAGGCCTAATCCTGCAACAGGTTTCTGGCGTCTGTTCCTGCTTTTGTGGTGTGGCGGAAGTTTTTTTAGTGGAGTGTTGTGATTATTTCAGCGTCGCATGTTGCGTATTTTTTCCTTGGGAGAGTCAATATCTGGTCTGTTAGTGTGAAGATTTCGAAGGTGACCTTCAAATTATTCCCATAGGAAGATAGATATAGCTTGGTCGACATAAGCCAGTCTGCCTAATGGGGAGAAAGTTGGCAAGAAATCCAGTATCAAGGCCTTGGTAGGGGGTAAATACCTATGTAATGGGCTGTAACATGACGACTGTCTGTTGCTGAGTAATCTTTTCTTGATCATAATATTAAATAATCAATGAGACATTTCTTCTTTCAGAATCAAAACGAATGGGTCTCTGCCGAGAGAGAAGAAGATGGCATCAGCTGAGGACTTGAATGGATATGAAGAAGAACAGAATCCTGCTTCACCATTGCGTTCTCCACATCTGAGTCTCTCCAATGGTGATGTCTCAGTTCCAGTGCCCCGAAGCCCCTATGAGAACCTGAGCCCTTTTGGCAGCCCCATGAACACACTTGGATACCCTGGCTCTCCAAGAACAAGAATCAAGACCACATTACTCAAGGATGGTGGGCATTCGTCACCTGGTGAAAAGCCTTCTAAGCTTGGAGATTTTGAACAAGAGTTCCGCCTGAGTGAAGCCATCTTGAGTAGTCCTGAAACAACGCTAAATGGTGATGCAACACCAGATACACCTGCTTGCCATATGCCAAATGGACATATTGGAGGTGATATGGTGAATGGCCATACCAGTGCAGATGAGAAACATAAAGCCCAGGTCATGCGTGTCCATTATACAGACAGAGCCCAGTACCGGGACATGCGTGAAACTTCTCCAACACGTGTGGCTGTCATGAAAAATCTCCCTCAACCCCAGACTGCAGTTGTAATTTCATCTATGACATGTCCCCAAGAAAATGGTTCAGTTTCAAATGAAGATGTGGCCAAACTGGAGACTGACCGCAGAGCAATCATACGGAGTGTTTCTAGTCTCAAGTGTCAGATCCAGGAATTGGAAGAACAAGAGAGTGAAACCATAAGAGAGGTAGGATGAGGCAGTTATTTAACATTCTCATCCAGTCAGTATACAGGATGTTTGTATTCAAACTTGACTGCCTGCCCCAAGGTCATTCTAGTGCCCTACAGAAATTAATTGAGGCTTGGTAATGTGCTTCCTTTGAACTCCAAGGTGTGATTGAGAATATCTCTGTAGCTGTGCAGTGGGGTGAACTTTGTGGGATGTTTCTGGATAGGCAGAGGGCTAGATATTCTCTATGTTGCATGTAAATGGGAGAACTCTAGTAGTATTAGATGTACTGTTGAAAGTGCTTAGAACCAATTTTTCCAGTTGGAAGAGACACTTCTTAGTCCTGAGAATTTTCCTATTTACTCTTTTTTAACTACTTTGTTGAAGGGTCCCTTGGAATTAATTGCTAGTGGTTCATCTGTTTTCCTTCATATGTCTACACTTCTTCAAAAGTGGATTTTAAACTCCAATGAGTTTATATTGAATATGTAAAAATCCAAATGTCCAAATTTCTGGAAATGGGGACTTAAGGTGTTATATTGACTTTGCTCTGTAGTCTGTATTTACTGTGTGCTGTAGAATTTACAACATACTTCTTGATGAAAATTATGCATAAGCCATTGGTTATAAAGCCATATAAGTAAATTGTAAATTAAAGTTTGAAGGGAAGCCTATTCCTATTATTTTGTTGATTTCCTCAGAATTTTAACGTTTTTGCAGATTGTATTGAGATAATTTATACTGGAAGTTTTTTTACTCTGTCTACTTTGTCTAATTGATTGCAAACATTGTTCTAATATATTTCTGGATTTCTTTTGGCTGAAATTTCAGCTGGAACTGGAGCGGGCCTTGCTCACAGGAGAGTATGCTGAAGAGGAGTTACGTTTGATGGAAGAGGAAGAGAAGTTGAAACACCTCTGCCATCAGCAGGCTGCTGCTGAAATTGAAGAGCAAAAAGAGCATGAGCGAATGAGACAGCAGATGGAGTCTGCAAGGACTAGACTTCAAGAAGCTGAAACTGAGCTCCGGGAGATGGAACATTCAATACGAGAATTCAAAGGATCCACTGATGATGAGACGCGGATCTTGCAACAGATCAAGACTCAGCATGAACGGCTAGAAGCTGAAAGAAGGGTATGACCCAGGGACCAATGCCCTTACTTTTGAACTGTTGATGTTGTTAGTCACCAATGTATCAGGTTTTCATTCAGATTGCCAATGTTGCCAGAGCATTAAGCTTGTTTTGGAATTTAGATGTGTATAAGAATTAGGTTTTGTTTAAGATTTATGAAGCCCTGCTTGGAAAACAAGGTTGATGTAAGCCTGATTTTTGTTAGAATGAATGCCTCCTTTATGTTTGATGACACTTCATCAAAGTTAGTAGGGCTGCATAGAAAATTTAGAATTGATAATTGGCTGACATTAGCTATGTTGGTGTTTGGTATTTGCATGCATTTGACTTAAAATATTTTTGCAATTATTTATTTACTTTTTGATGTAAGATGTGGAGCACTAGGTAGGAGTTCTAGGAAGAAGAGATCTAATGACATGTGAAATTAGACCAGGTTAATGTGATGCTTGACCTAGATCTCTTTATGGTATGGATACACTTTAAGCCTGGATATTGTAAGAAAAATAAAAAAGTGAAAAGCTTTAATTTGTAGGTTTAGCAATGTTGATTATTAGGTGTTCACTAGCCTAGTGTTGGCATATTAGATATTGGCAACATATGATTTTGTTGCAGCTCTAAGTACTATTTTCTCTATTATTTCTCTCATGGTCAGGTTTTTAATTACAACTTTATTATTTGTATTTTCATGTGACAAAATTATTACTTGCTGGAAGTGGGATATTTTTTTAATTTTCAAATTTAGTGAAGTGAGTCAAAGACTAAATAGAGTAGGCCTACTTCATTTGTTAACTTTGGTCTAAAAGTCCCAACAAGTCAGTAAGGATTTTATTGTTGATATTAGTCTCAGAAAAAGGTGAAAAGAATATATGTACCCATGTATAAGGTGATGTTTTTCTTTTTTGCTTATTTTTTCATGTAAAGTGCTGGAAATGTTCATCTGATGGTGGTTTTTCCCCCAGATACAACCTAGCTGCTTTGGCTCTTTTAGTGCAGATTTTTATCTTTCCTGAGTATAACCCAGGAATTTAAGCAGTCTTGAGTAAACATGAGAGGTTGACACACCCATGGCTCATGCAGGGGAGGAGAAATGAGAGCAGATATAGGCAACTGGAAGTCATCATTTCACATCTGGTGTGGTTCTGTTATCGCTGAGTGGAATGGAACTTTGCATGTTGATACAGAGTTGTGGGTTGTGGCACCGCATTGATAAGAAATATATGAGGCCTTGGTTACAATTGAGTTTACAGAGAATGTTCCTGTTCATGAGAGAGCTTATACCCTCTTCTCCAGCATGTGACTGATGAAAGTGAATGCTTGTGTCTCAGTCATGAACTTCTGGTGTGATTGCAGGCATTTGAAGATATTGAGTTTCATCATTTGGAGGCAGAGGCCCACTCTGAGACAGAGCGGGAAGAGTTGAATCTTGAGATCTCTCAGCTAGAAAACTCCATTGAGGAGAGGAAACGTGGATTGAGAAGCTTGCTGAAGCAACAAGAAGATATGATTACCCTAGTCAAACAGGAAACTGGGAAGCTGGAAACACAGCGACAAGACCTGCTTCAAATTCTTAATCAAGTGAGTCCCTGAATTGAAAGTCAAAGGTATACATGTGTCTTGTGTCTGCCATATCAAAAGAGCAGCATTTTAGAATAGAATGCCCATGATGCTACTTAGAAGCTTCCTTTATTTCAGACATAATGTGTTTATAAGTAACATCCCATTAATTTTAGGAATAGGTATCTGAAAACCATTCCATTTTGGAAGATTAAAATGAGCAATGGCACCTGTTCCTTTCTTTTCCAAGTTTGGAACAGTACAATGAATTTAAATTAACTTTGCATGGTTTTTGAATTGATTCTTACTCCTGCACCAAACTTTCTATTGTTATTTTCATTGATGTAGCCTGAAAAAGTGAGAAGCCATCATGAAAGGGTACAAAATCAATCCTTAAATGTCCCAAGTCATTCTGAACTTGTTGTGGAAATGTGATAAGTTACCAGGCACCTTTAGTAATATCTGCATCCTGCTGCCAGCAAACAGCTCTATAGAAATTGAAAAATTTTCCACAATAATTATATTTAAAGAAAGGGAAGAGACAGGAGTAAGAAGATATTTAAATTGTGAATGCAGTGCTCACAGGCACAGATGTTCAACATTCAGCCTATCTCTCTGCTGAACCTAGCTATCCCATTGACACACTAATCACGCTTGAGAAAGCCACTCCAGGGTTTACTGGGATTCCGATCTTGACAATTACTTCACTGTAAGGGGAGTTCGTTGGTAATCGATGTGCCCCATTTCTAGCAGATAATTTTTTATTTTTTTTTATTATTTTATTTTGATAGACTCGCACGCAATTGATGTGGACTGTTTTGACTCATTCTACGAATGTTAACACCCCTTAATGCTAGTGTATTCTTAATTCCCGCTGTTGCCTGTACTTTCCCCACAGCTTGGAGCTGTTAGTTGAAGCTGAGTTACGTTTCAAAGGGTACACGAGATGATCATGTTAACTTTATCAACCTTGGTGTTTCCTTTATCGCCTCCCTCCAGGCCCGGGGCATATCATGTAGGTATGACAGTCACCAAATATAATAAACAGGCGTGAGGGAGCATGTATGTAGGAACAACGAAGCCGGGGACTTTACTTACTGGGAATGAGAGGATGGAGGTACATAATGTTGGAGTGTGAAATGCGTGGGCTTTGCACGTGAAGGGGACCTGGGAAAGGGACATCCGCCCTTCCCTTGCTCTATCCTTCGCGCTAGTTTCCCATGCTTTCCGCGCCATACTCCGCTTGCTTTCACGTGGTTTCCCGCGCGCGCTGTTGTGTGTTGAGCCCTCCTTTCGCCCATTGCGTTGTTAACTCTGTACGAAAAACTTCGCAGTTGGCGGGGAGATAGCGCTGTCAGTATCGTTTCCTTAAATTTGTGAAATATGTTATGCCTGCATGATACTATTGTCTCCATTTTTACCTCACTATCTGGCTCTTTTTTTTAAATGGATTCTTGTATTTTTATTATTGTATATTTTTTTCCTTTCCGCAAATCCCTTTAATGATTTTATAATTAAGTGCCGATTTTGTAGCTCTCTAGGCAGTAGGTGAGAGCAGCATGTTTTCTCCGGCTAATTTATGGAAACATGGAATCTCTCTCACACCTGCGCACACGGGCCGTTATTGTGCGTCTCAAGCATTGTTCCTGTTCCTATGCCAATTACTAATATTACTTATATTTGTTACGGGACCAAGAACGAAGAGGAGAACTTGAATGGGAAATTGATAGAACCAAGTCTTATGACACATGAGGGCGTGAGATTAGGCAGAAACACGGCACATACAGTGACAAGGTCTTGAGCAGGAGACATGGGAGGTGATTGGACTTTTTATTTTTTTAATACCCAATGTGCCAAGTCATTAACTATCAGGTCCCAGTGTCCACTCGAACAATGGATAATGAAGAAGATAGCCTTGAAAAGAACTGTGCCAAAGAAAAATCCAGAAATAATCAAGAAAAAAAAAAGACTATGGGTGGATTTTTGAACAGAGCACTATCCGATAATGCTGCTTTATTTACCGGATTTATAATGCATTTTCTCTGAAATAAAGCTGCATTAGCGGATAATGTTCTGTTCAAAAATCCACCCTATGTTATTTAAAAAAAAATCGTGATTCCTGCTTGCCCTTCATGTACAGGTGAGTAGCTCCTTCTGCAAAAGTAATGGTAACTGTAACTATTTCCGTTTAAAATTGAACTTGCCTTAGGGGTGCCACCCGTTTGTAATTAGTATGGACAGTACATATTTCAGGTGCAATGTTCATACTGCAAATTGGTCCTAATATGGACTCTGTTTTGTCCATATTTTAAACTTAAGATTTTATTACTTAATAAAGTTTAATAGCTAATATTGTTATTTTCAGTAAGTCAAAAGCAGTAGAACACATTCAAGTGTCAATTGGCGCCTTGGCTTAAGGTGGCTGTGGGTATATTTAGAATATTTGTCCATATTTTGTTAAATTCAAAGGTGGCAACCCTAACTTGCCCATTCCTGAGGCTACCCCTGTCTGGGCCTGTCAGGAGCCTCTCAAGGCATGAGTTTGGTTCTCATTAAAATCAGTAGAAGTTGTAGGAATTCAGTTTGATCTATTATATCACTTTTAGATGGGCCTATTGGATGTATAAAGTAGCTGGCACATGCCAAGAGCCAATTCTTATATATCTGAAAATTGAAGGCTGCAGATATTTGGGTATTGGAGAAAATGTTCATCCTCATGAAAAATGTAGACCTAGCAGTAAGTAATGAAAGCATAGTAGCATGTACTGAAAGTGCTTTGATTTGCTTAATCCACCGAGTTCTGGTTTTAGGAATGCAATGTTTGCTATAAATTGACAGTGTTGTCAACTTTCAAGCAACAGACAGATTCATTCATTCTGATGTGCTTCTATGCCAGAGGGAAATTGACCCAATGTAGACTATTCTCAACTAATGGAAGCCATGATGATGTTGTAACTTTGAATTTTAGTTCTACATCTGGTACTTGAATCTCAGATCTTTAGCCAATCATTTCCTCAAATGCCAGTCTTCTGTCTACTGCCACTTTCCTGCATTTGCCACTCCAATGTACTTTGCAATCCTCAAAGGGCTTATCAGCTGCTGGAAGTCATTTGTATGAAGAAGTTTGGCATTTCCTTAAACTCCCTATTCATTCCCTAGTCCATGGTCCAACTTTGAGAGCATGGAACCTTCTAAAGAATTTCCCATTAGGACCATAAATGATTGTGTCACAGTGCTTTCTGCACATGACAGCATTGGTCTTCCAGATTCCCTTGTCCCCATTTGATTATCAATTAGCCTACATATGCACCCAACATCATATTCAGTGAGTAAGCAAATGGACCCTTGCTGGCATAATTAGAGGATTTTGCTCCTTCAGTCATTTGATTGATTTTGTGAATTGGGTCATACACACATTACACATTTAAAAAAAAAACAGATGAATAATGAAGATCTTTCAGTTCACATTATATTATCATGTTGATTGTGGCTGTTGAGTCACTTTGAATAAGATGGCATCATATTGAAGAGTTTGAATTTCCTAGGTCATATTGTCTTGAATTGGGGTATAGGTGTTTACCACACCATCCAACTATATTACATGATTTCTATGGACAATTGCTATGATGTTATATATATTTGAGTGAGACAGAGTGCAGAGTATGGATCAAGCTGTTTTGTTTGTCATTTTACAAATGGAGCTGGATTTTAAGCTTTAATGAACTGATCAATATGACAGCTAAATGAGAAGCCTCCAAGTAAAAGTCTTGACAGTTTTTTAGTGTGTTGAGTCTGTCTCTTTCCATTAGTCAGACTCTGTGTATGTGCTTGTTTCTCAAGCTCACCATTACCTCATTTTGACTTTTGGCTCATGGTAGCATGGAATTTGGAAGGAAATGGCATCGTTTGGATTTTTCTTATTCCTTTCTCTATTTTCAGTTCCTCTCAGAATAAGTTCTTATTAGGAGGGGAATTAAAAATTGAATTATTTTATGCTGGTGTGATTTGCATACTCTCTATTCGTGCAATTGTGTAGGAGCTTGGCACATTGGGAGAGGCTGAAAGAAGCTTGTCAGAAGCAAGACTCTCCACTGGTTCAGGTATATCCTCAACTACTAGTGGATTGGAGGAGTCAACTTCTGAGACTGACACAGATGTGAGTGTGACGTCTTTCTTTTATATTAGTAGAGCCTATAAGAAATCATTATGAAATAATGAGGGGATTATGTATGTCCAGAAAAGAGGATGAAGTCAGGGTTACTGAGCTTCAACAATTGAAACCTTAAGAATGGCCTCTGTGGCCTAAAGCTTGGTAGTTAGACATCTTCCTTTCTTTTTTGGAAGCACTGCCCCTCAATATTTCACATTGTATGTTTCTGTAACCCTCTATCTGTGCTCTACAAATAATTATTCCTTGAGTGCATTTCAATGTACATGGGGCCAACTGAGTAGATTTGACTTTCCCTGCAATTAAATGTGTTTGCAGTTGAGAGGAAATGCTTGTCAGCTGTTGGTAACTCATTGCTGATAGACAATTGAATTATGTTCTTTCCCATTATAGGAATATTCAAATTCCTCAGTCCATTGTGGAATTCTCAATCATTAAGCATAGCAGAAATAAAATCAGAGTGGAAAACAGTTCCAGTTGATAATAAATGGTCCTGAGTCTCTGAATTGATTCAATGGTGAAATGAAGTGCAGCTTTCAAGCACCCTTCAACCCCTTAAGTGGGGAGTTTTTACAGCTACCTCTACCACCCAGCTGCCTTTAGCCAGAGACACTTATCGACATTCACCCCACAGAATAGGTAAACAGTGAACTAGGTCTGCACATTACAGAGAACTGGATATGTAAATGCCTAAGGGAGGTCATCCCTCTTTAGGGGTTAATGATGACAACAAAATTCAGGTTATGCAAGGAAGTGGCCATTGTGAGCATTTTGATCTCTTATGACAGGCTGCAAATGCTGAATTAGAGATGCAGTTAAGACACCTGCAAGAACTTGGCATGGAGGAGAGGCCTGTGCAATCTCGTGAAGATCTTCATAGAATCTGTCAGGTTACAGCCAAAGCCCCTCTTCTGGGAGATTCACATCGAATGAGAGAGATTGAGAGGCAGAGGCAGCTCCTGCTTGCCCAGCAGAGTGAGTTGCATAATTTCAGAGAAACATATACAATCACTTTTTAGAAAATTTAGCCTACTCTACATGTGCTGGATTCTCTCATCAGGTTCCTTCGTAATTGAAGAAGAAAGGAGACGTTTGGATGCCTTGAAAAGGAGGGTACAAGAAGAAGTGCGTGCTCAATGGGAGGGGAAGAGATTAGCCTCCTTGGCAAACCATAGTTGCATCCCCATTGAGACCACAAATTCAAGAGATGCAAATTGCTTGAGTCTGAACAGTGTTGGGTCAACTGAGGAAGGCTCTAGTCCCACTGGCTCTGAAGATACCAGACAGACTGAAAGGTACAGATTTCTTCAAACCATTCCAGTAGAAATTTTTTGTTTTTTCACAATGCTGAAATAAATAAAAGTCAGTGAAAATCCTGTTAGCAATATTCCTTCTGTCCAGAAAAGAGATGTACTATATTGGACAAAATGAAGTAGATTTGATATTTTGGAAGTATTGTAAGTAAGGACTTCATAAATCCCAATAACATGGTATGATGTAAACATAATCCATTCCTCACATTATTCCAGTTCATTAACAGTGGAAATTATGTCATTTCCACTGTTTCAATAAGTTGCTGATGTATGTGTCAACAATTGACCTATGAATTCAATCTGTTTGATGTGCTTGCTCTAAATGAAACAGTCTACTCTTATTTTCTCTCACCCTGTGTACTGGTACCTGGTATCCTGTAATGATGGTCTTGTAATACATAGTCAACCAAAATTGTTTGTTGACTTAGTTATTTTCTGATCAATGAGTACGGTTTGAAGTGTTAATGAGATCCATTACTCAATAGTAAAAGACTGCCTAGGATATTTTTATTCCATGCATTTCCCAATATATGTTTCAGCATGTACAGTGAAGATGCTGTCGAAAAGTACCTGAGTACAACAACTGAGTCAAATGCCATTTCATTGCCTGCAGGATATTCTCTCCCTGTTCAGGTGAGTCACTTATTTTCATCCTCTGATTTCAGTAATGCAACTTTTCTAGACTTGAGTCTGAGAAGCTATAGGCTCTTTTTTATTGGATCAAACTGCATCATGATTGTATTGATCCACAATTGTCACTCTTAAAAAAAGTAACATGATTAACTGTGAACCAGCTACTGACATCTTAATGTGTTGGGAAACTTTCTGTGAAACCCCTGCATACTCTACATAACTCATGTATTTTCATGCCTGATGTCATTCACATAATCAGTTTGGACTATTTCAACTTTCTCTGCTATTTTTATCCACATTTTGTAAGTCAAGGTACAGGAGAACTCAGTACCACATCTGGTATGGGCTCTCATAATTACAGATCCACTTGGAAAAGGTCCATCAACCTCTATAATTACTTGACATCTGTCTCATGGAATGCTATGTAAGATTTTTCATGTCTCATTCAATTAGTCATAATTTCTCTCACTGATATTGCTAGTCTTGGAGCGTTTCCATTGAAAATTCCATTTGTGGCCTGTGTTAGTGTCTGTCTCTAAACCTTCCAGAGATCTATGCCATTGCCATTCTTACAGCTTTGCAGAGCAGAGCAGCATTTTACTGAGAAGACTAACAATTTATACTACCAAATTGTTATGTTTACACCGTCATAAATATTTCCACTTGTTCTAATTTCAACTGTTTAAAAGGATGGTTGGTTGAATCTGTTCCATTTGGGAAAAGGTTATTTCCTCTGGATCACTGATGTTTGAAACGATTGTGCAGTACTCGGGATAGTGAAATCCGAGGGCCCAATACTTCAGTATTTCGGGATAGCTGATCTCTCTTTTTCCGAGGAAAGGGGGTGATTGAATGAAGCGGAAAGAGAGGGTACCCCGAAGCACTCACGCCTTTATGTGTCATGTGCCAGTGAAGCAAAAGTCTTGCGCATCGATAGTTCTACGAGACTCGTGAAGTTGTCTAAGACTGGTCTAGTGAGAATGGTCTTCATGGACGCTAACTCAAGCTTATCAGAATAATTTCTGCAGTTGGGAAAAGCCAAGTTTTTTTTTAAAGCTCCATCAGGCTTGTTTTGACCGATCTCTCTTTTACGAACTCAGTGGGCTGTTCGACCTCATTTGATTTAGGGTCTCCATACTTGGAGGATAATTTTGCTGAGGTGAGGCAAGGAGGCAAAATGTAGGCATTTTTTGTGGCAAAATGGGGCCACTTGGATGCGGTTCGAAAATAGGCAGAGGTGATGGCTCTACATTCGTCAAAAAGGTGTTAACATGCCTCAAAGGAGGTAGATGATGGATGATGAATGAACTTCGCTCTATTTTGCACCTCTGGATGAGGTGTGATCTTGTTATTCATATGGCAGTTTGCCCTTTCGTGTCGTCCCCTGTCACCGAGCTCCTCTTCAGCCTCTGCCTTTTCTTTCCGTCCTGTTGGGGATCCTCTCCTATTCTTGCTTGGATTCTATAGATGAAATGATGAACCAGTTCACTCCGCGTCGTTGGTTCAATGAAAGGGTTTTGTTTGAGGCGAAGACAGAAGTTCGTATTCACGGGTCCGTTGTCAGAGAGAGATGACACATGGGGAGCTAATGAAGTATGACAGTAGTGTGAGTGGCATTGAGACTGAAATGACAATGGATCAATCACGTACTGTCCTGACACTTGTGTGGTAGTCTTTGTTTTCCCCTTGCTATTTTCAGATGCACCTCTGCATGTATGAATGCCGTCCTTGCTCCCTGTCACTCCATGCATTCGCTCAGTTCTCTGACGACTGATAACCGCCTCTTCTTCTCTCTTTTGGATGAGAATTCATTGCAGGCTGTGAAAGCTTTAAGATTTGCGAATGAAGCAATGGGAATCCTACATTTTGGATATCTCTCAGGCGGATTTTTTTTTTTTTTAAGGGATAAGTTATCACCTGCGCCGAAAAGGACAGGAGTGAGTACCATATTTCTTATCGCTTGCCATGTCGGCTTTCTTCGCGCCTATTATGTTGAGGTAGAAAGGACTTGTGAGAAGGTGGCTGATATATGAGGAAGAAAGGTTTCTGGCTTTCTAGAGTGCCCATTCGTCTCGGGACAAACGCAAGGGAGGGAGAATGTGGAGAATCCGGATAGATGGGGGGGAGGGGGGACGAACGAGAAAAAAAGGAACGCGTGACTCACACCTTAGAGTGTGTAGTAGAAAGAAGTGCGCGCGAAAGTAGGATGCAAAAAAAAAAATAATGGAGGTGGCATTGTCTTGAAAGCTCGGGATTGACAGGCGGCTGGCTCCGGTAACCCTTCCTGGCCCCAGCAGTGGCAAATTAACCTTACTGCGCGCCTTGAGTGAGGCAAATATGCAGGACGTTCCGTGTTATCTCTGGCAAAGTTTCTCCCTTCGGCCCTTATCGTTATCTATCCCTCCACTTTTATGTTCTTCAGTCGTGTCCCTCCCGCGGAGGAGTCAGTTACTGTACTGTAAAACAATCACAACCTGAATTCCGAGAAAATTTTCTATATACTGGAAAGAAATGTCTGTTTTATTCGAACTGTTTGCTAGATTTGGTCATCCTCGTTATTTGTAGGATATGTGGAAAATTGTAGGCGGAACACACAGGAATCTTCAGTTCGAGAAAAGTAAATGGACGAAAATTGCCTCATCCATCACCTAATTTAGATCTGTTTACGAATGGATTTTGTCTCCCCTTTTTCCTTCCTTCATGGGTACTGTAAATCTGCATTCCGCGTTGTTCCAAACTAGGTTATGTGTACAAAGGTGCAACGTTTTCAATCTTCTGGAGAGGTTTCTCCCGAATCGGATGCTCAAAATATCCTCTTCAGGTGTCGCTGTTGCAGAGCTTGCGTGAGGGGAAGCGATGCGTCATTTTGATTAACATGTCAGTCCGCCCGAATGTCAATATCCAGGAATAGGAATATGACTGACTCCCTATACTGAGATAAAGCCTGAAAATTTATTTGTTATGAACCTGCAAGGACAAAAGATTTTCCTATTTAAAAAGTTTGAGTAGGATTGTATTTGGGATTGTATTTGGTGTCACACACGCACGGTGCAGATTTTCTCATTTACCGCCCCATACTTTCTTCCTCAGCGTCATGATAAACACAACCGTCGCAAACTTCCATTTAAGGAAGACCCACTCGAATTTGGCTTGCTCCACTTCCTCTCCCTGTCTGTATCCCTGTGCATAATATTCCCCAGTCCATCGAGGTGCGCAGGTCACAAGTCCAATCTGGAGACCTTAGAGGAGAGAGGAAGAAGGGTAGAGAAGCCGAGAGTAGCTGAAGGTGGGAAGAGTGTCGAACTTGTCAGTCACCTTTCCAGCCGTGCGCCCCAACGTCTCTCTCGTTTTCCCTCTCTCTGTCGGATCCACTGCCAGGCCGAACGGTGTAGAAGGTGTATGCTTGTGGTGGTGGTGTTGACTGTGGCGGTGACTTGTGATCCAGTGATCATGGCTTTAGTTTGGTTCAATCTCAATGCCGGCAAGAAAAAGAAGAAGCGCCATCCTCATCACAACCAGCAATTGAGGAAGGTAAAATGAAAGCATAACACAACCCGATGTGCGCACTTCGCAGTTAGTCCGTGTTACAGATTCATGAGAGCGTTTCTTGAAATTCTGAATGAATGGGACCCATCCGCGCCTCCCAGGTTTCAAAACATTCCATTTTTGCTTGCGAGGATGCCGAGATTTTTGGATTATGAATCTAATATTTGAGGCAATGGATGACGTGTGCTAGGTCGGTTAAACTGAAACTAATTTTATGATCGTCCTCAATTGGAATCGGTTCGACGGTGACACATCCCTTTAAATTGAAACTGACCCGTTTTCTTAATGTGCGTCTATGGGAATAAGATCTCCGTCAATTTCCATAAGGGAACATGGTGAGATCAGGTTAGTTTAAGTGAAACAAATCTGGTGCATGTTACCCAAGGCTGGATTAAGTTGCGAGGCCCGGGGCAAGTGGATTCTTCGGGCTACCCCCCCCCCCCCCCCCCCCCCC